TTATGGTGTCATATAAAGTAGCTTTGCTATCCTAAAAATCCTTTGTGCTCCACCTGTTCATTCCACCCTCCCCTCAACCCCTGGGGCATGAACTTTTTAAACACTGCTAATCTAGCTGTCACTTTCCTTGCCAATACTCTACTCCATTTGCTGTAATTATCATGAGTAACATCTTTTCCTCAACGATTTCCCTCATCACCAAATAATTTTTAAGAGGCAGCTATAAAGCTGTCTCTATATTACGTCCATTCAATATTACTATTTTATTTCTCAAAATTCGTTCAAGTGGAAAATAGTCCCCCCCTCGCCGGAGAGGGACTCTGTGGTACACGAGCAGGAAAAGGCATGAGGTTATCTCACGCAAACAGAAGCATTTCATTAGTAAGCGCAGAGAAAAATCATGCAGGTCAGCTAGACCACAGGAAGAGAGACAAAACAAGGAATTAAAACTGTGGAATGATTTTCATTCATTCTTTCACTCACAAAAATGAGAGCAGACAAAAGAAGAGTAGGAATCTGACCAGACAGAGATAAAGGTCTTTGTTAAGTTTTCTCAGTTCATACTCATTTCCAGATGCCGCAGCAAAAGGAAATCTACCTTATAACAATGGAATTATTACAAAAAATTTAAAAATACACACACAATGCATTATATGGTAATTGGAAGCAGGATCATACGTGATCTAGTTAGATCCACCCTTGAGGATAATCTGAGGGAAAATAAGGAGCAAAGAGGCAGAACAGGACGCAGATAAAAGAGCTGCGTCTGTGTCCTGAGGCAAGCTTCTGCGTAGAGTCACCTAATCGCTTCTCCTTTGCCTTTGGCTGAAATCAATACATGCAGTTTATATATTTGTACCTTATTGTCTTATCTATCCCATCTTACAAGGAGGTCCTGAGAATCAGACAGGACTTTGCTGCTGCCCTGTTAGAATGCAAAGCAGTCGAGGCTGTCTGTGGCTTAGTTTGCTGTTCCTACCTTTATTACTCCCTATGAGTTCTCCCCATAAAGGAAGGGAAAAAACAGAATCAATAATGTTATTTTAAAAACAGAGTCCAAACACATCAAATACTTTCGGAAAACTTACTACAGGGTCTAAATTAGTTTGGCAAAGAAGTTCCTGAAATCAATGTGAAATGAAAATAAGTAGAAAATTTAAGTGAAAAACATTCCCTTTATTAGGAAACATTTCACATTAACTTTAGTTGCATAACTTTGGTATTCAAGGCAAGCTGAGAGAGTCAGCTATGAGAATAAATCACCACCCATCTCTCATTGTCTAACATGTTGTAAGATTGAACTTCAACATATGTTGCAGTCACTAATAATAATGCCAGCCGGAATTGGAAATAATAGCAGTGATCTGCCAGTTTTCTCTTGTGAGAAAACAAGATAAATGGTATTCACTGCAGTTTGGCTCCTGCTCCAACTGCTCCACTGAAACTGCTTTTATAATTATTTAAACCATATATCCTGTTTTGTCCTTACCTTACTTAACCTTGTTTATTATTTTTCCCCTTTTACTTTGACAGTGTTCACCATCCCTTCCTCTTAAATCTCTCTTCTCTCTTGGATTATAACCCACACTCTCCTGGTTTGATTACAGTTGCCTGAAAAGCCCTTCACTAACACATCTTCCTAAACCAAATCCCTACATCACGGTCTCTAAATTACGACTAAACAATTCTAATACATACAAATTAAACTTACGTCCCTTCCATGACAATGTTCTTTGTTGCTAATCATTTTAAATGACAAAATCCTTATTAAAAACTAAATTCAGAATAAACAAAAATTCCTATAATCTGACGATATTTGATGAGCAACAAAACTCCCTAAGTCACTGAGAACATTCCATGGATTGCTTCCCTACTTTGAAGAGTTGTGTTTTAAAAGTACTTAGGGTCTTTACGCACAGAAGAGAAGAGAATTTTTTCAGACTTGCATTTTTCACAGCATTAAAAACGCCCTCATAGTTGTTAAGAACACAGATATAACACAGGAAGCTTATGTTCTATTTCCAATGGCAGAATCGCAAAGAGTCATCTGGAAAATAACAAGTAAGTAAATTCACTAGAGGCAGCAAAATAAAAACTGCTCTATGGAACTGCAGTCTGTCAACTAGAAATCCTTACTGCTTTAAAAAGCACTTTTGTACTTAAGAGTCAAAGATTAAGTCTCATATGATCATGTTAAGGCCTCCCAGGGCACTAAAGTGATGTATCAATAAAGAAAAGCTAAGTTATTTTGAGTATTATGCACCAACAGTATACGGGGTAATTCTATATACACCACAGTATTCAATTAACCAATAAATATTTTTGGTCTCACAACTGTTACACTGCACAAGATGAGAAAAGAAAAAAAATTCCTAGAGTTTGAAAAATTAAAGGTAGGGAATGATCACTTCAACTTTTGCAAATATGCTATGAATCAGTACCCAAGATTCCCACTTTAAACATGGCAAGATTTAGAAAGCACAGAGAGAGTTGTTCAGTCCACTCGCAAGGTTCCACTTATTATTGATGCAAATCCCCTATTTACAGAAAATCACCTGAAACAATGCTTGTCTACTCATAGCACGAAAAGCTATGACAGCTTGACGTCTGGGTCTATAAAAATACATTTCCTCAAGAGGCAAACCTTACAACAAAACTGCTTTCATCAACAGGTAAGTTTAAAGAATTTGAAATTACTGTTAATTCACCTCTTTTGAAAAAGTGAATAGCCTCAATGCTGACATCCTTTTGCTGTAAATGAAATGGTATGTTCATTGATGACATGAATCGTTGGTCCCTCATTTGCTATCCATCCAGCTTCACACGGTGCACATCTTGAGGGCATCCATGTTTGCGTACCTACAGTAGCATAATGCCTGGCACACGGTGAGTAAGCATTCATTCATAGAAACTAAGCATCCATCTAAGTATTAGTTTGGGTAATATAATCAAGCTTTTAAAGCCAAAGTTGTGCTACATCAAAGGACACCAAGACAACTAGACACATCCTTTTCTCTCGTGGGTCCCTGCAGATAAATAAATTACAATGACGGGGCTAGAACAGAGGCGTACATGGGCCATGGAGGCACTGGGGAAAGCATATCTGACTTTCTCTCAGGGAGACAAAGTTTGAAAGGAGAGCTGAAGAAAAAGTAGGTTTCCAAAAGGCTAACAAGGAAGGGAAAAAGCAAAAAGCATTCTAGCAGATGGGGAGTAATGAAGTATGAACGAAGCAGGGAGGTGGCGAGGCCGGCACAGCCAGGGAAGGGCAAGTCATTAAGTGGATCGAGCTAAGGAGCAGCGGCGGCGGGAAGGAGCCGCTAATTCATCAGCCGCGCAGGAGTTCCACTTATGGGTGCCGAGACCAGAGTCAAAGATACCAGCCAAAGAGATGCTGCAGCGTCTTCAGAAGAAATTTTATTAATTGAATTAAGTAGTTCCAGTAAGAATGGAGAAATTAGTGCTACGAAACGTGCCAAATATTTTCATAGATTATCTAATACTTTTAAAAATGTCAAGTGGATATTTTAGCTGCACCCATTTTAAAGGTGAGCAACGTCAATAAATTGCCCGTGTTCACACAATTGTAAGTAGCAGAGCCAGGTCTCAAAGTGACATCTGTCTAAGACTAAATTTTGTGTAATAAATACTGTGTGATAATTGTGCACAATATCAAACAAGTAAAAATCTGCCGGGGTGGAGGGGAAATCCGTATCTTGCTTATTGGTGTATCATCAATACCTAGCATTCTTCCTGACATTTAGCAGGTGCTCAAAAAATAACAGCTGGATGTTGGACGAATTAATGCATCACTAACGAAGCAACAGGAAGGAGCAGTCACTGGTTACCAAATGCCACAGCAGGGTCTAGTAAGAAAACTTGAAACTGGATTGGTCAGAACTTTGGGGACCAGTAACAGAGCAATTTCAGTGCAGAGGTGGAGGCAGAAGACTGAGGGTAATGGGTTGAGGAGTGTGGGAAAGATGAAGAAACAGATATTAGCTTCAGCTGGATCAGTAATATTATTGGAAGGCTAAAATTACTTGTTTTATAAATTGTTAAAAAACAAAAACTCTGCCCTCCCTGGTTGGAGAGGTGAAAGTTTGCCATTATATGAACCAAGTGACTAGAGAAAGATATGGCATCAAAGATATGGCACTGATGGGGGTCCTGGATGCTCCAAGGGAAGATTTATTAATAAAAGAGGGAAATTAGTATCTTTCTAGTTCCAGAGACCATCCTTATCACCCAGCAGATTATCAGTCCCCACTAACATGGGAAAATACCAAAGCAAAAGGTGTACTTTCAAGTTGCTTAAAACGTCAGTCAGCAAGCTGAATAACTACCAACCACTCATTTCTGTGAACTGTGGACACACCATAATTATTTTTTTGATTAATTACTTAGGGTTCACCAACCCACTATCTAAGTAATGCAACTCAATCACAACTGTATCTCAAGTCCAGGAGATTTCAA